TACCGTGTGTAGCCAGCAGCCAGCGTGAGCGGCCAGCAGCCGCAGTGAGCGGCCGTCCAGAAGCCGGCGACTGCTCTGCCTCACCAGAGAAGAGCGCAATGATGGTGCCAACTTGGGCCAGTGAAGCAACATCCTCCACAACTAGATTGAAGAACAAAATGACAGCAACTTGTCTGTTCCCCTTTCCCCAATTCCCCAGCACTGTTCCCATCCCCCCTGTTCCCCAATAAAAATCTTTAAAAAAAAAAAATTTAGTTCTTCAGATGTGTTAACCATATCTCAGATGCTGGCCACCCCCCTGTGACAAGCGCGTGCCGTACTGGACAGAATAGACGGGAGTATTTCCGTCCCTCGAAGAGTTCTGTTGGACTCGGCTGACCTAGAAAAGAAGGCTTACACATTGAAATAAATAGAAGCTCAAAAATTACTTTCGTGTTTCCCATTTTCCCTTTAACTTTTAGAAGACCGTATTTTCCCCTGTAAGTGCTGAGAGCACAAGAAAATAAGAGAAAAGCTTTTCCCAAAAATTAAAGAAATGCCATGTCCAATAAAATAAAAACCAGAACAGTAAACTTGAACTGACAGTGAGACTCTCAAGCTGGGGCCTGGGTGGTGGGGAGGAGGGTGACAATCTCAGTCAGCAAGGAGCTTAGATGTTCAAGGCCCCTTGGATTCTTCAGCCTGTATGACATGTGAAGTTATAACCGAGCCCATACATAACACCCACATCTTGGAAGGCCAGCCCTTTCTGTGTAAGGATGGACAAGAAAAGAAACCCTCCCACTAGCTGGGGGACCACAAGTCACAGAGCCCCTCTTGCTTGGTCTGTGCTTTGGATTGAAAAAGGAAAAAAGAGGCCTCTCCAAAAATTCTGACTATGGACTCACCTGACCATGGTTTCAGGATTTGAATCCACAAGACCTTTGTGGTATGGAAGCTCAAAGCCTAGAAATCACCATGAATGCATGGATCCGAGCTAGAAATATCCTTCGGGTGACTAGTTGGAGGAACATATCCCCAGCCCGGCCACAGAGGATTCCAGCAGCTAAACAAACCCATGCCTACAGAGTTTATAATCCCAAAGGATGAGCAGGGAGCCTCCCACTCTGCAGAAATGGCACAGCCGCGTTGGAAAGCAGCATATCTAGTCATGTTGAACACCCTGTAATCCAGTAATTCTCCTCGGTCAATCTGTCAGGGCAAGCCGTGTTCAGTGAGGCAATGAATAAGAAAGTCATAGCACCATTGTTTGTAAGTAGTAAGAAACTGGAAGCAACCTAAATATCCATCAATGAGAGTGGATCTCTATGGAATACTCATACAACGTAGTACTTACGGCGGTAAAAAAAAAAAAAAAAAAGGAAGGAAAAAGAAAAAATAGACCTATGCATAAAACAGGTGACTCATAAACAACGTTTCAGAATTTCAGAAGAATACTTACAATATTTATTTAATGTTTAAGGCATGCAAAATAATATGTTGCTTACGGGGACATGTAATGAAAGACTACATGAGTGGAAATGAAAAGAAAGAAAAAGCACCAAATACTGGAGAGGAATTTCCTTGGGGGAGAAAAGTTGAAATGTTTCATACCTTAAGCTGGGTGATGAGTACGCCAGTGTTGGTTGTAATACAGTCCAGGCTTTCTGCATGCCTGGGTATTTCATGATAGTTTTTCCAAGATGAGCCTTAAACTGACGTGTTATGGTGCAAGGGTGAAATGCATCTGTAGCCATGGTCTGCGTCCTAACCAACATCACGTCATTCAGCCCAGTGGCATTGTCTCCCCCTGCGATCAGCAATGCTCACAACCCCATGTGTCTGGAAAACCAGGAGTACCGGGTGTGATAGAATAAAATGCAAGAAGGCCAATGAGAGATCAGGCTTTTAGGACCCAGGAAACAAGTTGGGAGGAATTCGTTGGTGAAAGTTAGTGTTTAGGTGATACTTGCAGAGGGGTGGGAGAAATTAAATGTGGGTGTCAGATATCTGTTTCCACAACATGGATGGCACACAGAGTTGGAAGTTAAGAATTTTAAAAGATTTTAGAACACTATATCTATTACAAACCAATTATTCTTTATATGTTTAGATAGCTAATTATTGCCATTGAAAAGGCAATGGTATTCCTTTATTTGAAGTCTGTGTCCTTTTTACAACAACACCAGTTAAAATCTGAGTCACAAAAAAGAACAAGTCAGGTGTCATAATGACGGTTCACCCCAGCTTCATCTCCGTGAGGGTTTTACTTCTGAGTCCAGAAGTCCCGTATTTATGGATTTAAAACTGTGTGATCCTATTATTTGGGTTTGTTTGTGATTGAATACACAGTATAATTCATGGAAAATTTAAGTTCATCAAAGGAAGAAAATGCTTTTTTGGCATCTGTTTAGTCAAAAGTTTGTCTTTGGCCCAGATTCTTTTCAGGGTTTCAGGGATATTCACATTGACACTCTTTTTCACTGTTGCAAGAGACTTTAGTTTGAATAGTGAAATTAATGTTTCCTTCTAACAACAAAGCTTAGAAGAATGGTTTCTAACTTTTACTTCTTCATGACCAAGAAAGTGTATTTATAAGCTTAATACTGACTGCCCTAACTTATCTTGAAAAATGTTTAGTGCTGTGTTATTTCTAATGTGTAAAACAGGTTTTAAAAATACTGTATAGGTTTTCCATTTTGGAAAAACAATTATTGGATTTATAGAAAAGCAAACTTGGAGTATATGTGTCATTTCTCTTCATCAGGAGAAGGCTACGGAAAAGTTGCTATAGACTACAATGATTTCCCTGGCCTGTTGTTACTTCAATTCCTGAATGTGAGGTTGTTAAGAGTCTTGGTTCATTTTGTCGTGTTTCCTTAGAGTCCTTCCTTTAAAGCAAAGCACACAGCAAAGCACCCTTTGAAATTTTATATGGATTCAATTAACAGGAGTTTCCCAATATGGTCCACATAGAAAGGCTAAAGCTCCAAGTTCATCTGCTTTCCTTTCTTCAGTCCTCATGACAGTTGTGCGCACAGATATACTGCTTACCTGATGGCTCTGTTCAATACACCGCAGAAGCCTATATCTTTGAGGGCTTACTTCGGGAGAACAGAATTCACTCGAACAAATTTAAGCAGAAAGAGATCTGTTACAGAGTTTTCAGTGGCTTGCAAAATCATGGAAACTTGTAGACTCCTCTTTCCATACTTAATGATAAACATTTCTGGAAAGATGGGTAAAGTGTCACACACACCACACACAACAAAACCCAAGGAAATGAAAAGCTAGAAAACCCAAGTTTATCTATGCTGACATTAGGGAAAAGATAAACCCCATGTTAAATATTTCAAAGGCTATCCGTCAGGTACAACACATTTTGGACCAACTTAAAAAGAATCCAGGAAGTTCACCATATACTCTACTTGAGAATACATGTGATATGGTAGGAAATACCTTATTTGCTTGATTTTATGACGCCATCAATGGTAAGGCAATTCATTAAAAACATCCTTTTTTTTGGAAAAAAAAGATAAAGCACTATAATTTTAATACTGTTATAGCCTGATGTTAGAAACATTAAAATGTAAGTAACATGTATATCAAAAATCAGTCCTATACAACTAAGTGAGAAGGGAACTCACATGTAATAATATGTTCATACGTTTATCATAAGCCCACAGCAATTCCAATACTACTTACACCAGCATAATAATAAACAATAATGAAAACGTTCACAGGTGAGTGGAGAGGAGGGTCCAGGACATGGAGCACAGATAGTTTGGGGGCCAGGAAGGAATGACAACAAACTGGAATAATCAAGATGGAAATAGCAGGGGAACTATGCCAAAAATCTGGGGGGAAAGGTTGGGAGTGGGGGAGAAACAAAGCACCGAACCTGAAAGATAAAGTTCAAGCACATAAAGAGGGACGTTTTCTGAGGAAAGAAGAAAATTTTAGAATATAGTCTGCTTTGAAGTCTCAAAAAATGTTAAGAAAACACAGGCAGAGTGACTCGAGACAATAAAATTATGGAAGAAGATTCAGTATACTCCCACAGGTACGAAATGGCATATTATTTACCATATAATGATAAAGTATTCATTACAGCCTCATTTCTTATAATAACATTTTATCAGAACAATTCAAATATCAATATGTAAATAAATTATGGTACATCCATACAATAGAACATTATAGTGCTGTAAAAAATAATAAAGAAGCTCTTTATAAACTGATCCAGAAATTACCTCCCAAGATACAGAGACTCTAAATAGCTTATTATAATAGGGTGCGTGTGTACACACATAACCACAATATACTGCAAAAGCAGAAATGGTCCAGAATGTGCTATATAACCACTGTGTAATCAAACTAAAATAAGAAATGTAGACACAAAAATAACAACAAAAAAACAACTACTTAGAAGTTCAAAATAAATTTTGAAATGACTCCTTGAATAAAGAGGAAATCAAAATAGTAAAATATCTGGAAAATAGTAATGAAAAGACTACATATCAAAATCTATGGGCTACAATCAACATTCTACACAGGATAATTTATAGACCTAAACACTTCTATTAATCAAATAAGATTAACTGAATTAAGCATTCATCTAAAAAAATTATTGTGAAGAACTCCAAAGTTAACTTCAGGAAAATATAAAAGTAAAAGCTGAAATTAACAAAAAACAACAGAAATGATTGATCCAACTATTCTTTCTTTGGAGAACAAAATGCAAATCAATTTTATCCTTTTATGGTGGACAAAATAACCCCTCCCCCACCCCCACCCCATGCACACAAGGATGTCCACATCCTGATCCCCGGAAACTGAACTTAAT